GCATATTCAGAAATTTCTCGAATTGATCATCGAGTTTTCTCTTTTGCAGTCTTTATGGAAAAGGTAGTGGTGGCACAAGTAAGAGAGGTTTCCTTAACCTTTGGATCATCTGATGGTCTTTCTGTCTCTGCTTATTTGTTTTACGTAGATTCCTCCAATTGCTCCTCAACCATGATATGTACATTTTCTTTTGTAGCAACCGATCTCTTTACATTAATTTCTGGCAGTTGAATTCCACTGCGGGTAGTTTTGGCCTCAATATGTTATTCCTCCACAACCTTCACTGTCATTACTTGCTGTTTGGGATTTCTCTCAGCGTCATTGGGCAATGCTCCTGTTAGTCTCTCTGAAAGTGTTTTCGCTATTTGTCTCATCTAATTTTTCAAGTTCTTAATGGCAGTTCCCTGAACTTGCAAGGTTTTATCTATTCTTTCCATATGTTGTGTAGATATCTCGGCCAATTTAGTAACAAGATCTTCCAACGAAAATTGATTTTCAGTTCGCCGAAATTCTGGAGGTGTAGTTTACTGTGGCACGATCTGATTAGCCTGGTTATTACTCTACTGAAAACTTGGGTGGTTTCTCTAGCCTGGGTAATAGGTGTTAGGATTTGTGTTGTATTTTAGCCTTGAAAATTCTGAGTGTAGTTCGCATCCTTCACTGTCTGAACAAAAGGCGACCTTACATTACAAACAACAATCTCGTGGTTCCCTCCAGAATGTTTGCATTTTGGTCCTATTGTCTACGATGCGTTCATTTGATCCACCTTTTGTGCAAATGATGCCAACTGTGCTAAAATTGCTATCAAAGAATCAACTTCGAATACCCCAACAACTCTGTTCCACTCGTCCTTTCAGTATGCCAAAGTGCACTGGCAAATGTCAGATCCTCCATGATTTGGTAGACTTGATCCGTGGTTCTTTTTGTGATAGAACCATCACATGCCGAGTCTACGTTAGCCTTGCTTATCGAATTCAGACCAATGTGGAAGTACTGCACCTGAAGTCATTTCTACAATCCGTGTTGTAGGCATTAGCGGAATAAACCCTTGTATTGTTTCCAAGCCTCTGAATAGCATTCTGAGTCCAGTTGTTGGAATGTCGTAATCTCGTCCCTTAACTTTGCAATCCTTTTCGACGGAAAATATTTGTTATGGAATTTTTGACTCAATTGGTTCCATGTAGTAATGCTCGGAGGTGGACAAATGTCTAATCACTCTCTGGTTGAGTCTCTCAATGTACATGAGAAAAGCCTCAGTTTGATTGCTTTACTAGACACCTTTGGATACTCGATAGTTGCACATATCCAGAAATCTTGATATATGAGCGTTGGGATTCTCCGTAGCTCTCCCAAAGAATTGTAGCGCGTTTTGTAACATGTTGATCACATCAATCCTCATATGGAAGTTTACTCGACCAAACGCCGGATATACTATGCTAGATCGACTTTCCACAATCGGTGGAACCATGTACTCCTCCATTAGCCTTGCATTTTCATAGGTCCACAATCGGTTGTGCTGCTTCCAGATTAGTCCTTATGACTATTTGATTCGGATTTTCCTCTGCTATGTCTTCCATTTTCTGTTTTTGATGTGTTTCCAACTTTTGTCTTTTTTGAAGGTTGAATGTTCGTTCGATCTCGATGTCAAATTGAGCAAGATTACCGATTTTCGAACTTTGCATACAATGTCCTGAAAAAGGAAGCAAAAAATAATGTAAAGTTTTTCTAATATAATGAGCTAAACTAAAAGAAAAGTAAAATTCAGATTAAAACTAAAATTAACTAAACTTATCAAAAACAATAGTCCCGACAATGGCGCCAAAAACTTGATCTTTTGAAACCTGCAAGTGCACGGTATAATGGTCAAATAATATAATGATAAATTGAATGTCGAACCCACGATGACTGTGTTTGACCGTTAAAATTAATTGGAACTTTAATTAAATAGTAAATAAATTTTGTGATTTTTTCTATATTAATACCTAAATTATCAATTAAACTAATGAAAATAAGTAAATTTATTTTTCAAATATATGATATGCATTGCTAAGATGTCGAATCCCCTTTATTATTCCATTTTTAGTGTAACAATTAAAGTGACAATTTGAAATCATACATGTTGTTCAATGTTCCTAATTTAATTAAAAGTCTCTCTCGATAGCGATCAAATCTATTATTCTCATGTGACCTTTCTATTTCTCGATAAAATATGCAAACATGATAAACGCACTAACAAGTGGTAGAACACATATTGAAACCATATAAAGTATAGATGTATATCTCTATCATTTGTCGAATCTTACAATATTTATTATATTATGCTTAAATCCTATTGTCTATATCGATAACAATAAAATTCACTAACAATTTAATTTGTGATCAAACAATTGAAAAGAACGATAAAAACGATAATAAACATCTACAAATCAAATCAAATTAATGCCAAAATAATTAATTAAAAACTAAAAATATCATAATAAGNATCCAATAACAATTCAATTGGTGATCAAGCAATTGAAAAGAACGATAAAAACGATAATAAACATCAACAAATCAAATCAAATTAAAGTCAAAATAATTAATTAAAAACTAAAAATATCATAATAAGGGTTCATATCATCCTAATAATATATAAATTAGCCTAACATATCGAAACTACAAAAAATCATATTGAAGTGAAAAAATATAACCCGAATGTTTGATAAATTGAGAAAATGAAAATGAATCCTGAAACATTGAATCTCTTCAATGGTTTCTTGATAAATCTCCACTTGCACATTCTGAATCCTGAAACATTGAATCTCTTCAATGATTTCTTGATAAATCTCCACTTGCACATTCTCTTCTTTGCCAAAAAATAAAGTTTGAATCTTCATTTGATTGAATTCCTACAAATCTCTCACAAGAACTATGAATTTTTATCATTTGATGATAATAATTGATGAATATTGGAGTATGAGATGTATATGAGAGGTCTCTAATATGTATTTTACTGTTAGGTATTTGTAGGAGTAGAAAATTGGTTGAAAACCACATTCAAATTGGTTTCCAAAAGAGTTCTAATCGAATAATAAAAATTGTCTTCGCACGCGGATTTTTTTGTCTCTACACAATCGTCAGTATTTTGATCATAATTTTCTCCCCCGATATTAGATTGAGTCAATTCAAAGTGCGTCGAAAAGCTAATTCAAAAGACTAACTTTTCTAGGAGCAAAATTTTTCCAATTCGGACGTTTACTATACCAAAAATGGATCTCAATCTTCGACTAAAAATCTGAAATATAACTTGTGCGATTGGAAATTGATTTTGACAATATTTTGATCATATTTCATTCTTTTTTGAGTTTTAATTCTATCTAATTGTCTCATAGCAATCCTAAAAGCATCTTCTTGTGGTCCGAATCAACTATTGAATATTTACAATTTGGTTCTCAAACTTTGGACATCATCATTTTTCACCAATTTTCGCTTTATTCTTTTGATTTCTCGTTCAACCATTGAGTTTTACCTATATAACATAAAATACAATAATTTAGGATATATTTTGTCAAAAGAACTACCAAATATCGATATTTTAGCGCCCCCAATAAGTGTATAAAATATACTTATCAACATGATAAATCAACTAGAGGAATTTAGTAAAATCCTTTTTAGGATCAGAAAACTTAGATTGAAGCTATCCAATTCAGCGTGATGGTTGACGGTTCACAAACTAAATTACCTCTTCTATTTCGGGATACATATCAACGCTGCAGCTCATCCAACGACAAATTTGATCTGTTCCCATTCAAATATTTAGTGGGTGTGGACGCCATCATTGTCCCCACCACGTGTTCGTGACCACCCCCACTTTGCTTAGTTTAGTCATGCTACGTTTACACTTTCTCTTGCAGCTTTCTTTACGCTCTTCCACATGGCAATATATATACTCTTGATTTGAATTCATTCATCACATCACTGCGTAGACTTCCTCTACATAGGAGTGAATGTAACCAAGTTGTCATACAAGATATACATATAGCATAGTTCTGCTAAATCATGTACAAGATCTTGGTTCAACCTAAAAAATCAGAAGCATCAGTTAATTTACATTGACAGATTTGACACACTCACAATAGTAAGAAATGGCATGTCTCCTTGATGTATTATGTGCATTGTGATTTCAAAAAGTGTTGAATCTCGTGCTGAATTTGAAGATAATGCACATACTATTTCGAGCAATTATTTTAAACCCTGTTCTCTGGTGCTCATCGGTCTGCAATGTGACACTGCAAGTTTTGAGATTGTAGGCCTGGAAAACTGTTAGAGCTCAGGTTCCAGTGTTCACGAGTAGTAAACTACGACAATTCTGAACCTTAATAGGGTGAACATCAGAATAGGAATAAAGGGAAATGTAAATCCAATATAACACACCTCTCAATTTGAGCACCCTCATCATTGAGGGATCCTCTTTCCAATCAGGCTCATATGGGGTGGTGCCAGAACAATTCTGACGAAGGCAATCACACCAAAAAGTGACTATACGAACATCATTAAGAAAAGAAAACAAACCATTTTTAGTCTCGAACAGCATAGCATACACAAATGATCATTCTACGTTCATCAATCTTGTTTTCTCATCTTTTCATCAGAAAGCCAGAAACCGTCTAATCTGTACTACTTCGTTAGAAAAAAGTTTTGTCATGGGAGTATAATTACAACAGATGTCGCTAAGGAACATTGATCAGTCATCCTCCGCTCAATTCAGGAGCCACATATGGAGGATCAAGCCTTGAATGGCCATTTTGTATAAATGGGACAAAACCAATGCTAATGCAATAAAAATAGGAAAAGATGATCTTTAAACAATTAAAAGACANAGTAAACAACATTAAGGTGATGGAAGTCATCCTTCCAACAGCAACAAACAGATTTCAGGAGAACATACAAGTAGCATAAATGCTTCACTTTATATCATTACAGTGTTGCCATGCCCTTTAAAGAAGTTATCGCCATCGCCTTTAAAGAAATATCGAGAGGTCTTCAGGGGGTTCGATCCAAATACTCTCAAAAGGATCTTGTTCTCCCCAATCATAACTCTGCTTGCGGGGATAGTATCTACCACTGGCCAGAGAGTATGACACGCACCTTTTTCCATAAAATCGAACTTTAGAGAAAAAAATGTTGTTTCTCATCATTCCAAGAAGATCCGACTTTGCATATGACGACAAGAAATTTGCAAAAAGAGTCATGCTTCCTAAATTTTCCATCTCGACCCACACTTTATTCACTTGATCTAACTTATATGTCACTGGGTTTACAACCGAGCATGTATATATAACAAAAATATCTCCATTATGTTCTGTCATAAATTTCCCTTTCCACCAATTCTTGACGAAAAAGCATCTGGGCGGAGGCACAGAATAAATACTCCAAGTACTGTTGTCAGGGTCGTAAACTCCCAACCATCCCGTTACACTCAAACAATAAAAACGACCATTGCAGAAAACCAGCTTATTCCAAATGCTGCTGACAAATGGCAGACGGCTTTGGTAATTGATGGTAGTCCATTCAGTTTCCCCAGGACGACACGTGCTAATCGCAACAACTGTAGGGCTGGTGTGCTTAACTGTAAATGCAATACAGCTGGAAGATGTTGGGGCAGCAGAAAAGGCAACTACTTGGTACGTCAGTTCTAGTCTAGGCAATTTGACCGACTCTTGAGTATACGGACAAAAAAAGAATATCCGTTTAGTCCGAGGCTTGTAAAAAAGCAACCAACCATCCTTGGCATAACAAATCCTACAGCCATTTAGCTCTGGCAAATCAAGCCAATATGATTTGCGCTGAGAAGGATCATAGAATTCATATAGGTCACCGAATTTCGGGAAAAACATAATCCACGGAGGTTTATCAGCCACTTGGACCGAGGTTGCAGCGGCACGCCATCTTTTGCAAACAGCAGAAGCACGGATATTATCTCTCAAGGATAACTGAGAAAGAATCAGTTCCAAAATCTCAGTCGGAAGCTGAAGCATCGGGCATTGATCATCTGACTGTCCATTTTTTGCAGCTATTTTGTCATCTTTGATCGCTTCAGGTAAGCTAAAAGCATCGAATCCCAGATGCAATTCATTTCAGCAACAAATAACAACGCACAAATCGGTTGATAACAGATTCAATCTATCAATTTAATGAACACTAGGAGTATGAATCATAGGAGAATGTAATAAAGAATTCATTGAAATGGCTCATAATTTCCTATGGATTATGAAGTCCAAACTGTATATACCATCAGGTTTAGAACTTAATCTTGAAATGCATTTAACTGAAGCCCTCAAATTCAAATGCACCCTCACAATTCAGATCTTCCTTTCACCACTTTTTTTTTTCCTTTTGCATAAATACAGAAATGGGCACATTTTAAATCAGCTAGAAGTAAGAACGCTGGCAACCATAAAACTAAAATTAACAAGAAATATACAAACTAGAATGCCACTAAAGACCTATCTAATGGGTTCCATCAAAAGCAATAGGTATCTATCCATCTCAATCTCTTCAGATCTTCAAATCTGATTGCATGAAAAATGAAACTAAAAAGCCTTTAGCCATTCAAAAACGAATTTTTCATCTAAAATTGAATTTTTCCTCAATGGGTAAACAAATTCAATCTCACCAACCCAACCAATTAGTACCACAAAATTAGATTAAATCAACACAATAAAAATCAATTTTCATTTCTAAAGCAAAAGCAAAAACGAAATTCAGATTTCATACAAAAACTTAAATAATTCATCAAAACAAAATTAAGAAACTTACAGTTTCGACTTTTTCTTTCTCCTTCCGGCCATGATATCGAAACCCAGAAGATTTTTATGGCAAAGCTATTATCTTTCTGAGAGTGCGGGTGAAAAAGATGAGTGTGAAGATGTATATCATTGGCAACAAAAAGTGGGCGCTACCAAACCTATTAATATAACACGTGTGGTTTTATTGAATTATGTGTCGCAGCGGTCATCTCAATTCTAACAACAGATTGCCACGTACAAAATCAAAATAATTTATATTTTATTTACATTTATAACAATTTTTTTTTTCATTGTTGTTTATAGGGCGACATGATTTTTTTTTTCTTTTTTTATTGAGGACCTTTGTCCAAGATATTAATTTGGAAAGTTAAATTGACTAGATATAAACTGATTGAAGTAAATCTTTTTGTATATTCGAATTGTAGTCAAACTGTTTCTATCGAACATATTTTGTTTTATAAAGGGCAGACATTAAAAATGAATAGTGCTATAAATGATTAGCCAACTTGCCTCTCTTAGACCATTTTCTTCTTCTGTACGCATAGAAGGAGAAATGAAGGGAATGGAAAGGAAGGTGACAATATTAGCAATGAAAAAATTGATAAACACAATCAGCGGTGAGATATTATCAATTTTACTATCAACGAATATCACTATTGCTCTACATGTATGTACACATCTCTCTCTTTTAGATAGATGTATAGATACAAAGAACAATGCTATAAGTACAGATAAATTTCACAGAATGCACACAGGAATTTGAAATGGATGGAATGCATTCAAACATTCAGGAGGGAAAAAAACAGATACACGAACATGATTTTCCAATTCAAATTTCTGTAGGAAATCTGGCAATATTTCCTGTATTTGGAGAATTATTCAGATACAAAAGTGTAAGAATGTATTTTATATATATATACATATATATATATATATTATAAAGTGCTAGTTCACATCAAACTAGCCCTAGTTAATTGGTGGGAGTTACTTGAAAGGTAATATTGATTTTGGATGTTGATAGCACTGAGCTTCAAAAGTGTAAATCAAAGTGGATAATACTACCACTTTGGGTATTGATACCATTCCCTTTACATTAACCTACTTCAGAAGATCTAAACTAAGTGGTTGCTATTTACAAAAATGCAGTATAACTTTTGAGTATTTACATTTTAGTCTTTAAAGTTTGGATCTTGCCATTTTTCACCATTTTTCATTTCTTTTCTCCAATTTTTCATCAAATATAAAGTTTTACTTACAAAAATGCAGTATAACATAAATTAGGTAAAATTTTATCGAAATGACCATAAAATATCATCATTTAGGGTCTCGATTAAGTGTAGAAACTACACTTATCAAGTACAAGTGTACATATATTTCAGTATAGAATGCAATAGATATCAAAATCACCATTTTGCCTTTACTAGGGTTCGCTTTATATAGGTTTCGAAATACATTGACGTGTCAAAAAAGGTTATCACACGTATATGAGACACGTCTTAGGGTTTCCCAGATATCCACCAGGAATCGCGGCGATTTGAAGATCACAAAAGTCATTTAGGGTCTTTTGATGACGTAAATATCCATTTACTCGTTAGTTTATTTGTCCTATTTTGTAGCTTCCTCCTAGTCGATCTACATAATGAAGTCTATGATCGTATTATGACGAGGGAATCATTCTTGGTCCCTTGCCCGAATAAGAAAGTCTCGGATGGTGTGGTTGCTACTTGCTAAATAATCGAATATGGTTTTCTATCTGTCGTGGCACAATTAAAGTTTTACACTTGATGAGCTTTCTAATTCCATCAGTATCAACATGTGACCAACAAGGAAAAAAACATAATAGTTAAATGATGATGAGAAATATGCCAATAGTGCGTAACAATAAATCTTGCATTTATAGATGGAATATCTCAACAAGAGTTATAACGATGAAAAATGTTACGAGGGTGTAAAGCCGTGTGTACACGTAGCATCTCCCTATAACAATTATGGTAGTTGTCACCGGAAAGGCGGAAACACTTGAAAGTAGTGAGTTGAGTAAATATTGTCAACAACACTTTGCATAACTAAATATTAAAGCATTAATGTTCACTTCTATACTTTTCCACCATCAAAACAGGCATTTTCTTCTTGCGAACAAAGTGGCACATGAAAAATTCTACAATAGTTCGTCGAGAAGTTCACCATTACGAAGATGGAAAGAGGGAAGACTACTTTACATTTTTTCTCTTTTGTGGGTAGAAGAGAAGGAAAATGCAGAAAAGCTTCCCCGTGGGTCTTCTACCTCTACGGGGCATTTTTGCTTTTGCCTATTTTGAAAAATTTTCCACTGCTTTTCTAAAGACGAAAGGAGTATCTATGAAGTTTTAGATCTATCATCACCGACCCTCAATCCTTTTACGACCTTTTTCTTTCATTCCTTTCGAAAGAGGTGGCTCCCTCCTTTCTCCCATATTGAAACTCGCTCGAATATCAAACATAACGACGGGGATAATCACTTGTTAGATCATGACTTGTAATCCTGAAGCCTTTCCCTTGACAACCGAGCTAGCTTAAGTACGGCGTAGAAGAAAAAAAAGGCCACCACTCCTTGTCCGTAAGCAAACCACGTTTAGTCCAGTTAGAAATGGGAGCTTTTCCTTTGATCGTCTAACCTGCAAGCCCGTTAACAACATGTTTAATTAGATTCCTTCTCTTGCTTCTGCTTTCACTTTAAATATTGTGTTTCTGCTTTTTGTGAAAATAAGTTTATATTTTAGAAATATAAATCTTGTTAGAAAAATCTAACGTCAATATAAATTGTTGGGATTTTGGAGGCTATC